ATGGTCCTTCAGAAATCATTATAATATACTGATTTGCTGCTTAAGAATCATTTCTTATTATTATCAATGTTGAAAACAGTTGTGCTGCTTAATAAGACACTACCATTCAACTGTTTTATAGTTCTTTATAGTCTATTTTTTGTTTAGAAAGACCAAGTTTAGAATAGAGAGAGAGAGAGAGAGAGAGAGTCTTTGATAAATGAATAATTTTGAATTACCATGTTTAAGTCCAAGAATCTCCACATATTTACATTATTTTTGACATGTATTTTTCTTATGAGGTTTGTCAGGTGTTAAGAACTTCATTCAGACACATATTTAAATTTGTTAATCTTCAAAGCGTTAAAGGTTCCTCAAGAGTAGAAAGATCTCATTCTTCTCACCTGAAAGATGAGCACTTTAAAGTGGTTTCTCTTGAGCAGATGGGCGTGGTTGGCCTCCAGATGCTTCACCTGGCTGCTCTGTCTATCCAGGCGCTCCCTCACCTCCTTCACATTGAGGCCAGTCTTGCGCGAGCGCTCCAGCAGCTTGGCCACGCTGTTGGCGGTGGACATGTGGTTCTTGGCGAGCCGGGTCACATCACCCTGCACCATCCTCACCGCCCCCTCCAGCTCGGCCTGCTTCTTCTCCATCTTCCGCTGGTTCTCCTGCACCGACTCGATCATCACCACCAGCTTGTCGAGCAGAGCCACCACCGTGATGGCGCTGACCTGGCTGCCAGGGGCCGTGGGGCTGGTCGGAGACTTGGCGCCCAGGCGGGAAAGGGTGTGGATGGGGGAAGAGGGCACCGAGCCAGGACTGAAGCTGGGAATGAGGAGATCCTGAGCATCCTGAGCATCTGGAGCTGGTGGTGTCGGAGGGCTTTCCTCCCTGGGTAAGGTGGCTGTGCTTCGCACGGCATGAGAGGAGTCTTCACCCATTCTGGAGTCAACGCTGGTGGTTTTGAATGACAGGGTTAGACTGACTCTCACAGACACTCTCCTGCCTTCTGCGCCTCTCTAAAGACAACATTCCCAACACTCCACTTAAAAACTCCCCACACACCCAGGGGAGGGGCCTGGTTGCCGTGGTATTTAGCCCAGCCCATCAGAGTAATGTGAGTATAGAGTGTCAGTGTAAAAGTGTGCCACTGCATGTGTGCTTTTTCCCTCAATGCAATTTCAGTATTATCAGCTTGCAATCAGTCATGGGTTTGATAATGTTTGTTTGTCATATGTATGAAATGCCCCCAAAAGACATATTTTGACAACACCAGCAACAGTTTGTGTGAAGGAACGGGGGTGTATCAGTGTCTGTGTGAATGCACCTGAATGTCTCTTCATTTCTTCATGAATCTCTGCTGGCGTTTCTCTTCTCAGCTGTCCGGCAGACTTGGGAAATGTCACACGGGGAAATATGGAAATCAGTGTTTGAACAGTGAACTCAGCTCATCTTTGGCAGTGGCACCATCACACACACACACACACACACACACACACACACACACACACACACACAGAGAGAGACTGCATGAATGCTAGGTTTAAGGGATATCTCTTCCAAAAATAAAGAAAATTATCATTTGCTCTCATTAACTCATATTGTTTCAAACCTACATGACACAAAAAGAGATGTTTTGAAGGATGTTCAAGCTGCTATTTTACATACACTGAAACTGGATGGAGACCAGAGGCTGTCAAGCTCTATGGTCTTCATTCACTTTTATCATATGGAAAAGAGCAGCTTAGTTATTACAGTTAACTAAAACTAAAACCATCAACTTTAAAAATAATAATAGTAAAATAAATTTTTAATGAAATAAAATATAAAAAACTAATTTTAGTTCAGCAACATTCCTTATTTTCATTCAGTTCAACTTAATGTACGAAAATTGCTAAAACTATAACTGAAATAAAAATGAACTAAAACTAATAAAATATATTATAATAAATAATACTATCTCTATGATAAAATAATGCTGACTTTTATAATACCTATAATGCTAATTGTACAGGATGGAAGTACAATAAACAAAGGATATCCAGTAGACAGCTCACAGTAATCATAATCATAAATTGTGCATTAGGGTAAATTACTACCTGTGCGTCTTATGATTTATTCTAGGTTTTAAACCCATGTCAGACTTTGAATGTTTACAATGTATTGAATCTTGCTCAATAGTCTGAATGAACAAAGAGAAGGAAAGACACTAACTCATTCATAGATCCGTGACCATGAAAGTAAACATTGTGAAATAAACGCCTCACCTGGAAATCTGGTGTGGTGCTCTCGTATCAAAGATAAACACGTCACAATATTCTGTTTCGACCAGAGGTCATTTTCTGGATAATGACAATCAATAGCGACAGAATAACATGCATAACTTAGATATCTGTTTGGGAGTGTTATTAAAGGACAAGGATAAGAATCTAACATAAAATAAACTTTATCTCCCACATCCGTTCATTTCCTGAGACTGAGGCGAATGCCTCCCTGCATGTACAAAGAAAAACACTGCTAATGTTTTCTATGTTGTGGTTTGGTGGGGTATGTGTATTCTCCTGTCGTGTACTCAGACTAGGCCTATAGATACAAAGTGAAAATCATCACCCATGACCCCACATCCACACATGGACATCGAAAGATAAGTCATGCCAAAACAAATCACATTATACTTAAAGTGATAGTTTACCTAAAATCATTTACTGGCCCTCATATCGTTCCAAACATATAAGACATTCTTTATTTTGTGGAACAAAATAATTATTTTGTGTATTTTGAAGAATGTCAGAAACCAGACATTTCTGGTGACCATTGACTTCCACTGTTTGGACAAAACATTGCTTCTCAACACATCTACTTTCATGTTCCACAGAAGAAAGTCAGTCATACAGGTTTGGACTGACATGAAGGTGAGTAAATGACAATAGAATTCACTCCCCCCCCCCCATCACTTTTTAGCTATCCCATTAAAAAAGCTTTCTTATTTAAGCTTAATTAAGCTCAAAACTGAAGTTGAGCCACTGACACATGGACTGTTTTACTGAATGTCTTACGGGTTTGGAACGACATGAGGGTGAGTAATTAATGACAGAATTTTCATTTTGGGTGAACTAACCCTTTAAGCTATTCCATAATCAGCCATTACATAGTGCAGTGAGGTCTGACCTCTGCAGGTAGAAGGTACTCACTGCACTTAAAAAAGAAAGAATAAAATAAGTAATATAAAATTAATCAATCAACAAATTCACTAACTCGGAGTTTCCTCTCAGCTATGTAAAAACATCCTGTTGTTGATTCTATTTAATGAGAGTCTGTAGATCGTCTTTCTTATTAGTTTCATATTATTGGTGACTGTTATTGTCACTCATAGCGTTGCATGATTTGTGATTCAGTTTGAAAAATTTCCGAGTATGCAAAGACATGTCACTGCAAAACACACTAAAGTTATGCATGTGTTATATATAATTGCTACCTTTGTTTGAAACTTGGATGGCTTCGCTGGTAACAGGTTCTTCAATATGACCGTTGAATGCAAATTGTTCGGTGTCTGGTGAGAGATTGCGCTTGTGGCATCACAGTAATGAGAACGAAAAAGACTTCAGCCTTCATTAGCCGAATGATAGCAGACAGATTTCTTTCTCTTGCCTCTGGGACCTTTTGACCAGTGATGAAAAAAGCAGTAGATGGTAAAGACATCTGAGAGATAATTTGACAATTTTCCCTCAAATCTTGACGGCCCTGAAGAACAGTATTTTTCAAAGCCCTCCCAACCACCCACATTAAATGCCATTCCCTTGCCTTATTTATTTATTTTTGTAAAGATCTTCAAGAATGCAACAAGAGTAAGTGTTTCCTATATATATATATACTTCCCAAACAAGGCTATAGTTTAAAAATGAATCACTGTTAAATGGCCACTGCGTGCTAAATGACATCCAGTGTAAGCTAAAAGGAATACATTTCTGATTTGGTTCAAAACCTTGCAATGGTTCTCATTGAGACTGAGATACAATAAAACAGATCAGATAAGTGCGGTCTTCACGTGGCTTGGCAACTGATTCAGCTGAGAATGCAAAGTATGTCTGCTATGTACCTCTTGCACTTTAGTTCTGTTTGACTGGAGCTCTATAAGTCTTCATGGAAAGCAAAGAGAAAATCATATACAAAATTCATAGTCACCAGGGTTACTATTCCGTCCTGCATTGTTGAAAACACATGAGCCTGAGAATAAAGGGTCTGTTTAGTGGAAGCAGAACACAAACAGACAAATGTATGCTCATTTTAATTAAGGCTCTCTCTTACCCCTGTGGCACACAGACTGTCAGACAGGACAGGAAGTGCAGGGACTCCACTGGACTGGTCTAGGGATGAAGTAGGAAGAACTTCTGCAGACAAGGAATGTCCGGAATTCCTTAGTCCTAAGGGTCCCGTCCTCCACATGACCTCTAGAGGTCAGTATATTCTCTGTATCTCTCTTTAAAAAAATTTAAATAATAATAATAACTCAGCTACTTTAACTCAAATATATATTGATATATAATTAAAATTATATTGGATAAAAGTCTTATTAGAAAGGAAAATAAGAAGTTAATCTGGAAAATTAGCCCCATTATTTTTAATGTTTTTGAAAGAAACCTCTTATGCTCATCAATGCTACATTTATTTGATCAAAAATACAGCAAAAATAGTTATATTGTGTAATATTAGGATAAAATAACTGTTCTCTATGTTAAAATGTAATTTATTCCATTTATGACAATCTATTATTATCTATCGTAAATGTTGCTGATCTGAAACCTTTAAACAATATTTTTTACATGAATAGGTTCATGGGACCCCAAACATTAAAAACAGCAAAAGAAATGGTTGAATCACCTCGCTAGAAACTCCTGAAACTGACCATATACCTTCAAGTCAGATCCTTTAAAAGTCATGGCATCCACAAAAGAAAAAGGAAAAAGAAAAAACACTGTGCTTTGTGATATAAATTATTTATTTACATTACAGAAAAAGGACCCCATCAAGACAAACAAATTAACTATTGGAAATATTACCCATACATAACCAAATAACAGGATTTGTCCTATCATGGTGTCCTAAAATTCTCTGTTTGTGTCCTGTGCCACAGGTGCAAGGCATCGTGTGTAGAACCCATCGTCCTCTGTTATATCTGCACCGTCGTCCTCTGTCCCTCCATCCCATCATCCAGCAGAATGCAGTGTCTCTATGGGGACGGAGAGCGAGTTTCTTCTTTTCTGTCCTCTGTCCAAACTACATTTCCCATGATTCTCTGCTCACGGGCTCAAATGAGGCGGGTGGAGGCGCGCAGGGTGTTTTCAGAGTTGTAGTGCATTGTGTTCTGCTTCTGTCGGTTGATTCTGTTGGTCCGTGGGCACTTCCTGCAGAGGAAGGAAGCGAAAGGACATCCTTATCATACATGTAACTTGCCTCCACCAGGCAGCTCTACGCTATTTCTAATCGAAACAATGCCTGGAAGGAAAAAAACTCATATTTCAGAGCTTAAAAAAAGCCTTTGCTATAAAAATAGCTTCATATTTAGAGTTTGGAGAGTGGAAGTTTTTAAAGGAATGTTTCATGCATTCTTCTGCATCAGTATTCATCACAGTTTTCCACTGATATGACTTGAAACAGCACAACAGCTCACAGACTCTTTGCCTAAAGGGGCTGTTTCTTTTACTGGAGAAGAGAATAAATAAACAAATACTGATAATGAAGCTAAATTAACAATGATTCATAACGTATATATTTTTTTGGACCGTACAAATCTATTCTGACAAATACTTTTTGACTGGCGTCTTTAAGAAATGTTATTATGATTTTATTCATAACATCTTATAACAACAGCACTATCCATTATTTCGGGTGTAATATGTTTGAGTGGGTAATTTCTGTGCCACTAGCGACACCAAATGGAATAGCAATCTTTGAATACAACATTTGCTCAACCAATGGCATGAGTATAGAAAGGACTACTCATTTGTCCAAACAATGGAAGATGGGGTAAGAGTTAGATTTTTTTTTAAAGAAACAATCCTAATTTGTTCAATTTTGTTTAGTGCAGAAGTGTCAGGTTTTTGGAACTACTGTTTTTGAAAGAAGTCTCTTATGCTCACCAAGGCTGCATTTATTTGATCATAAATACTGTGAAAATAGTAATACTGCGAAATATTATCACAATTTAAAATACCTATTAAAATACATTTTAAAAATGTAATATATTCTTGTATTTAATTACTTCAGAAATTATTCTAATATGTTGATTTGGTGCTTAATAAATATTTGTTATTATTATCAATGTTGAAAACAGTTCCTGCTTAATATTTTTGTGGAAACTGATACTTGTTATTAGGATTCTCTGATGGATAGACAGTCAAAAGAACCACAATTGTTTGAAATACAGCTCTTTTGTAACATTATAAAGGTCTTTACCGTCACTTTTGATCAATTTAATGTGTCCTTGCTGAATAAAAGTATCTATTTCTTTCAAAAACAAAAACAAAACATCCCAAAATGCTGAAAAGGTAGTATATACAGGTGCATCTGAATAAATTAGAATGTCGAGACTGAAGACTATCTGAGGTCTAATAATCCATCAATCACTTCTACAATCTCTCATGATACATCTCCATATTGAATGCATTCACTTTTTTGATGTGAAAAGTAAATATTACATTAGATGGGCGAGTTATTTAGTGCTGCCAGTGATTTAGACTTCACTACCCCACACACACACCCTTCGACAATGACCTTTCACGGAGTGTAAAGTGTGTTATTCTGCAGACTCCTGCTGGCAGGAACTCTCACTCTATAAAGAGCTGTGAGTGTGTGCCATCTACACAGGAGGTAGCTGTCCTCTGCTTTGCTTCGCAGTAGCACAACGTGTGTGATATGATGCTGTGGTGTGTGTTTATGCTCACCGGGTGATACACAGCACCACTACACATATGATGGCCACCTGCAGAGCCCCAATGACAGACGCGATGAGGACATAGCGGAGCTTTCCAGAGCCAGGCACCACGTACAGCACATTATACTCCTTAGTGTCACACTGTGGACCGCTGAATCCTGAGTGACAGCTGAAGAAAAGAGGAAGAAACACGGCGTTATATCCTTGTTAGATTAGATGCGAGTGTTTTAGTCCTCTGTGGATTTATTCAGGTTGTTTTAAAGAGTCTCTGTTCACACACACATACCGCAGTGCCTCTCGCTCTCAAAGTCTTTCCTCAGAAACACCTGCTGTTTTACTGCAGCACCTGCCAGAGAGACTCCCCTGTTCTGTCTTATCATTTCTCTCTAGTACCCTTTACTTTGTTTTTCGGTGACTTTAATATGAGCTTCGCAACTTGAGCAGCCAATTATTTTTTAATAAGCTGATGTTTGCAGTTTTCCTGTTTAATACCTTCTTCTGTCCCAGTTTGATCTGTAGAAATGACTTGTAGATTGAATTTCCTAAAAAAGGTAACAATCAACCTTTAGACAACGTTTGGAGCTTTGGGACGACACTATCTGTTTGTACTACCATTGAAAGACCAGGGTTAGTATACAGTATACAATAAAATATGTTTAAGTTTTATGATCTTAGCTTTAGTTAACTATCTGTCTATCTATCTATATATAGTTAACCAAAGCTAAGACCATGAAACGTAAGCATATTTTATTTCAGCTAGTTGCCAAGAAAACATGTCTCATTTTCATTTAGTTTAACTAAATAAAGCACTAAAATAACTAAGGCCACAATAAAACCAAATAAAAACTATACAGACGTTACCTAATAAAAATATAAAAAATACACAACAAAGTTACAACAATTCACAATGAAATTAAAATGGAAAGCCTACAAACAAATTCAAACAGTTAATAAAAACTATAATAATATCTGGATGGTACTAAAATAACTGAAAAAAGGGGGAGTGTTTGGAAAACAGTTTTTTATATGTGACAGCTCTTTCTTGGCTTGAACACTAGGTGGAGACAAAGATCTGTAATATAGTGTTGCATACACAATCACAAAAGGTGTGTGCCCAAACACACATTGATTCACAATGTATTTTTGTAGACAGGATACGCTGGCATGATCAGACACATCATGAGTTTGTGTGTGTGTGTGTGTGTGTGTGTGTACCTGCAGGACGGTGTTGAGAGCATGTTGGGATATTCACAGTCTCCGTGAACACAATAGTTCTTATAGTTCTCAGGGCAGGGGATGTACAGCCCTCTCGCCACCTCTGAAACCTCAGGCTTCTCCTCTATAATTCAAACACAGTGGGTCAGAACAGCTAAAAGTCAAGGGCACTTCAGAACCACAGGACAAATATATTAAAAACAACTTTTTATAATTAAACACACACCCACCTGTGTAGTCTGTCCTGGCATACTGTCCATCTCCTGCTTTGGTGCCTGTAATCATGTCGCCTACAGGATAGAAACGAAATTCAGATATTAAAATGAACAGATCTGCTGGTTACATAATACAACATTGTTTTTTCCCTCTTCATTTGTACATTGTCATTTTGAAGATATCATCTGGGAAATTGCTATATTCTAGAGACTAATGATCATATGTACATGAATGAACTTGATTATGTAACAGTGATTTATAATGTTCATCTTTAAATGTGTTCTCTGTTGTTGTCTTATATAAATGCAAATTGAATGGAAGAAGACATCATGTAACAACGTAAGAAATTAATACATTATATAAAGCAATCATAAACCTGCTCTTCTTACCCTGACAGTGACCCAGGAACTTGACCTCGATTCGTTCCTGCCGCTGACACGAGGCCTCTTTTACCTGGCAGGGGTTGTCATAGGAACGGCCGTCTGATGCGCACACGGGGTTAAAACTGATGTGGGAGCAGTCGATGTTACAGACGCACCTGTGTCGTGAGAAAGAGCATAGTAAATGCCAATTACTGACAAATCAAAGATCATTAAACAAGTGTCACACCTTGTTTGATCAAGCTGTCAGCTAAGAATAACACTTCAAACATGCAAACTGGGGACTCAAAATAATTGCTGGAGGCCATTCGGTGTTTCACACCTGATATTGATGCAAAAACTTCACTATTCAATTAATATTTTCAGGGCCTCTTTGGAAGTAATGCACCTTTTTTGGCCTTCTACCAGTTTTTATTAATATTTTAGGAGAAAGGGGGCTGGAAATGATGGGGAGAAGAGAAGGAAACAGAGTGGAGAAAGTGGACCTTGTATATGAATGCTGAGATAGGCGTTGTATGCCTATAGGTAGACGTGGATCAGCTGAGAGTCAGCTGATGCGAGCTTGACTAACGTGACCTGCCAGAACTGACGCTATGCTTGATTATTGTGAAATATTATAAATATGAGCTTGCTGCTCAACATTCGAATACTTGGCTAGTGCTTGCTGTAGCAGTTGCAGCACGCTTCAGAAACCCTCCACCTTCCCCAGCTCCACCTGTATATTTGTAGTGGCAGTAGCAAGTCTCAAGACCAAACACATTAACACTGCTAATTCTGTTGCTGGTAGATTCAATCAATCAAACGAACACTTGTTTTTATGCCTACAAGAAAATTGCTTTTGTAAAAGCCAGTTTTGCAAAGGGTGAACATTACGGTTTTAATGTACACCTCTCCATCATGTATGAGTGTGTTAAAAGCTCAGCATTTTCACAGTCGTCCTGCGAGACTACAGCCTTGCAACATACACAGATTACAATGGTAAAAAATACAGGACCCTTTACTAAAGGTCTGCATCAGCGGGAACGGCAACCTCGCATAAACATTAACTGACATTCATAATTGCCCATTTTGCTTGAGGCTGGATGAATTACCATTAGAAACAGATTAACACCAACATCAACAATGTTTTATGATGTGTCTATCTACTCTATAAATGTTGATAAGGGTGTCAAGATTGCAAATGTAATGAGTAAAGTCTGTTTTTCATCTTCTCTTCTCAGCGTGAAGCTGGAAGGGAAAGCTCAGGAATGAATGTGGACAGGATCGAACTGGATGCTGCAGTGATTTTCAATCTATTGCACATTCTTGAGTCTATCATCTCAGGGGCTTAATGACTAGCACAGAAGACTGGCTTAGCAACCAAAGCACTGCGAACACATCAGTGGAGAATAATACAACGCTCCATTTTCAAACGATGAGAAATGATGATGAGTTCCAACACTTTGATGTTCCTTCGCTGGTTTTCATGGCTGCTTTTATTCACATACCTTCATTAACAATGGTAATGAGTGCTTATGTGCGTATGGATGAAAGGCGATGCTATTCTGAGGAGACAAAGACGCACAGAATCCTAGACAAAGTTTCTGACATTTGCGACCGGCAACACATGAAGCCTTTGCATTTGTGTGTGAACCAGTCATTCATTTCTGCCTGAGAGAATCGAAAACCTGTCATCTAGTCTTCATTGTGTATGTTCTGTGAGTGTATTTGGTATATTAGTATTTCCCAAAAGAGTTGACATGAATTTATGGTCTGCATCTTCAACGTTCAGGTGTTTCTGCTGTAGTTTCTCTCTAAAGTGTGTATGTGTTGTCTGTGCGCCACTGCAGGAACATGTTGAGCAGAAATGACAATTAAACTGCCATCCCCAGTCACTTCTCGCTGCAGCAAACAGACGACAGTATAATTATAAATCTGTCATTATTTTTGTGTATGTGTTTTTTTCTTCAATTTTCTTTTTTAATATTTCCACCCTGCCAGTGAGCTTTAGTGATGTATGGAGCTTTTTTCTATTCTGGCACTACTGGAATAATGGAAAGTGACTACAAATGTAAGATAAAAATATCTGTTTTAAATAGAGACGTTGACTGAATTGAACTGTGGCGTGGAGTCAACTCAAGGGCAGCTTTGATTGTTTGTCATTGCTAATTGAGATCTGTAATGCATAGTAATTTAGATACATCCCCAGGAACATTGAATGTGAGATAAAAACAAACAGGCACAATGATATTGAGATGTATTTATTGTGAAGCACTGGTAATGCTCACACACACACATTTGCTCTCTAGTATGACCGTCTGTAGTGGTCATAAAGGCTAATGTGTCTTGAGAGCATGAATATTTAATGTCACCTCTCACATTCTCTAGGCACACACACACTGCAAATGCATTGCGTCAACAACACACACACTCACACATTCACTTAGATGCACACACACATCAAAGATTTCCAATAGCAAATCAAGTAATAATGGCTTTGCGAGTGAGTCAAACTGAATGGTTGAGATTTCCTTAAAAATTCAGGTTGTTTGTATGATAACCTCTGTATGCGTGTGAGTGTGTTTATCTTGTTGAGTGAGGGGATATGTCTTATTGATTTGTAAGAGCCATGTGGTTTCTCTGTTATCTAAACTTTTCCAACATGGCCTGTGGGCTTCCTGTCTGTCTAGCTGCTCTTTACTCACACACTTTAGTCTCCCTCTCTCTCTCTCTCTCTCAATAGCAGGATTATGATGACTGAGTCTGTACTTGGTGAGGATAAGTCTCTGTTTTGTATCTTTGATAGTTTGATGAGGATAGATGAGGAGTTTTGGCTTTTTGATCCCAAGGTTTCAAATGTTTGATTTAGATTAGTAGTGCTAACTTGGTTGCAATTGCATCCATCCATCCATCGGTCCATCCAAATAAGAGACTTGGTGTATTTCGAGCTGGTTATAATTAAAAGTTCTGTATTATGATTTTTATTTTTTGTAACATATATTCAATATAAACTCTCATAGTTCCTCCCTGGACCACCCGGCCACAAGGAGGATAGACTAAAAACATTATTTAACATATAATTGGAAAAATAACCAGTTTATTGCATTTCTTTAACCATAGTATTACAGTATTGGCAAAATCCAATATCTGTCTGTCTACAGTATCTGAATAGTTTTTAAAATCAAATTTAAGACTTTTTAAGACCTGCATAAATAAAATAAATACTGTATGTAAACACAGGTCAAACCTATACAATCTTCTGAAAAAACAAACAAACAAAAAAACACATCCCAGATTATTTATTTGATATTGTGCTGATACTAGTAAAATATATATGCTGAATGTGTTAAATGTTTTTAAATCTTTCCTTCTTGTGACAGGGCAAACCAGAGAGAAACAACTAAAATTTACATTGAATTAAAAGCCAGACATAGTTTATTGTGCCACCAAAATACCAAAAAGTTATGCATAATAATACATACCATTTAAAGTGTCCCTATTATGGGTTATGAAAGGTTAATATTTTGGTTTTGGGAGTCCCCAACAACAGGTTGACATGCATGCAAGGTCAAAAACACTTTCATTGTCTTATAATATGCATTTATTTTTACCTTACTTGCTCAACGACTCACAAACGATTCGCTTAAGGATTCATTTTTCCAAACCCCTCCTTGAAGCTAATCTGCGGTGTTTGGTCCGATTGGTCTCATTTCCATTACATCATGCCTGTAATGCCTGATAAAGCAGCGTTTGTGAGCGCAGTGCTGCTTTGTGTACAGCGTTACTGGGGAAACCGCTATTTTACCGCTCCAAAAGCGGCACCTAGTGGCAAAGAATGAATTTGCATTTTCATTCAGACCAACTGGAAAAGACCAACAAGAGGGCGGGCAATATGCTAATGTTTCATGTTGACTTCATCATGAAAGGGCTTGGGATTTGATTTAAAAATGACTTTTCAATGTTTCAGAGTCGACTCTTTCTTTTGAGAGACAATAACTTTATACACGGTGCACTTTCAGATTTAAAACTTTGCAGGATGTTTTCATTCACTTAGAGCTGTGTTACACACTGCATGAAAGGTAATTTTAAAAAATCCATAATAGGGGCACTTTAAATATAAACCAGCCTGGGACTCTCATTTCTTATGTCTATTCTTTACTACGTTCAGCTGCTAAAAAAAAGATGAGGGAGATATAATATGCACTCTTACAACCATCCACAAAAGTGCCACGTCTTGACTTTGAACGTGCAGTGCTTACATTAATTAAATTAAATCATAACCTTTTGAATTTTAATAATCACATTAGGCCATATTGCGATTCCTGATTTTCAGCCTGCAAATTTAAAACATCCTAAAATGATAATTAAGACTGTCTATCTGTCTGCCTGTCTATCTATAGGCTAATTCACACTGCACCAACAGATGCCAACCATAACCAGATTATATGTGTGTGTCTATCTCTGTTCACATACTGTGTATCAGTAATACTGACCAACACCAGCCCTAATTCCAGACATTCCAAGAATGCATTGCGTCAAACTCAAAGGTGTGAGAAATGTTGATTAGAAATTGATTTAAAATGTAAAATTTGTTTAAAAAAAATTTTTTTTTTTCTCCACACAGTAATCAGTAATAGTTGATTACTGTGTGGAGACGTGCTGAAATCGCGTTTGGTCTCGTACTGTATCGTGTACCTTGTCAGTGTCGTACGCTTTGCTTGGCCATTTGTTGTGATAAACAGGAACGTGTGTCCAGCAGAATTCAATTTGAGTTTTGTTAAACGAATAAAAAAGAAGCGTAGTTTACCGCGGAAGCGGTCGTGTGAAGACCGAAGAGTGTAAAGACCATCGACTCTACCGTGTGA